GCTCTACGGGTTCCACGCGCAGGAGTTCATCCCGTTCCGCTACGCCAGCGGGGGGGGCCGGGAGCTCTACTTCTACGAGGAGAAGGAGATGGACCTGAGCGACATCATCAACACGCCCCTCCCGCGCGTCCCCCTCGACGTTTGCCTCAAGGGTGAGGACGGCACGACCCCCGCGCCCCCCTCCAGCCGCCAAGGGCCTTGCGGGGGGGGGGGGAGGGAGGGAGGAGCAGCAGCCCCTGATGCGGCGAGGGGAGCCGGTCCCCGCCCTGATCAGAGGCTCGGCTGGGTGCCCGCATCCGCCTGAAGCTCCCACGGGGGCAGAGGGGTGCCTGCCCCTCGGGAAGAGCCCCCCCTCCCCCCAATGCCAGGGGAAGGAAGGCAGCATCCCTCCTGCTGCGCATCCTCCTCCTCCGGGGTGGGGGGTCCATAGCAGCCTTGGAGGGAACCAGCTGGAAAGGGGCAAGCGGCCCACCCCCCTTGCCTTCCCGGGAAGGTCCCTGTTGGAGGAAACGGCCTGGCAGGCCCACCTGCACAGCCTGTGCCGTCTCTTGCACCTATCTGGAGGCGTTTGTGGGGGTGTGTGCCCCAACCGGTGTACTGTAGTCAGAGCATAGCATGCGGTGGAGCTTCTCCTGCACCTTCCCACGCTCTGCTGTCTTGGAGGTTCCTCCTCCCCACCCTTCTCTCAACCACAGCAAGGGGGCAAGTGACAGCCAGAGGCCCCGTGTCCCAGGCAGCATCCACCTGTATTATGCCGTTGATGTAGAAGCAGCCGGAGCGGAAAGGCAGTCGAGGGTCCTGGAGTTTGTGCTGCTCTATGTTGGTTTATAAGCCGTTAACTTTTACCCTTCCTGACCTGTCTTCCAATTTGGCTCTGTAACTCTGCTGCCAAGAAGGGACCGAACCAGGATTTTGCAAGCCAGCTATGATCTCCCTCTCTCTGAAGCTCCTCCCTTTTTTCTAACAGCACACTGGCTGAGCATTGAGGGAGTTCAACCGGCCATCCCCGAAAACCCACCTCCGGGTGAGTTCCAGAGCGGGGTGGGCAGCTTCCTGCCCCAAGCAGGAGAATTGGCTGGGCAGCTGCGGCAGCTTAACCTTGACTGGAGTCCATCTCTTCCCTTCGCAGCCCCCAAGGAGCAGCAGAAAGCCGAGGCTACCGAGCCTTTGAAGGCAGCCAAGCCGGGCCAGGAGGAGGAGGGCGCTCTCAAGGGCAAAGGACAGAGCGCCACCCCGGCCGATGGCAAAGGTCAGCCTGAGCACGGCGGGGGTGGGGTAAGGGGCAAAGATTAAGCCCCCTTGCTTGGCACCTGCAGGGGGGAACTGACCATCCCAGAGCGAGGAGGCGCTTCAGGGGAACCCCAGGGGCCTTGGCCACCCCAGCCAGGGCCTGCCAGCGATTGGCCAAGAATCTGGCTTTGCCAGGCGCCCAAACCTCTGTGTCAGGTGGGGTGGGGTGGGGTCCACGGAGGACTGGCAGGTCAGGAACCATTTCACCGAGAGGGGAGCAAGTGGGGGTTTCCCCCATCTCCACTCCCCGGAGGAACCTTTGGCACCGTGCTTTCTGCTTGGCTCTGAGCCACGCCCCGTTGCCTTCCTGTGGCTGGGCTTCATGGGCTGAGGGTGTGTGTGTGTGTGTGTGTGTGTGTGTCTCCTCTGTGGGCCCAGCCGGTCCCCCCCAGTAGGAAGGGGAGACGGGGATAATGGGCCCTTGGCCTCCTCTCCACCTGCGCAGGCAAAGAGAAGAAGGGGCCCCTTCTGGAAGGAGCCCCCCTGAAGTTGAAGCCCCGCAGCATCCACGAGCTCTCTGTGGAGCAACAGCTGTACTACAAGGAGATCACGGAAGCCTGTGTGGGGTCCTGTGAAGCCAAGCGAGCGGTGAGCCGCCAGGATCGCCCCACCTGCCCCCCTCCCTCCAACCCCGGGTAGCCTGGGGACCTTCTCCAAGCCCCCTGCCACGTCCAGCTTCCCGTCCCTTGGCCTCCAACAGGCGTGGGTGGGTGGCGTCTCCCTCGCCTGCCCCCCAAAGGGGCATTGGAACGTCTCCCCTGGAACTGGCTTCTTGGCAACGCTCTGTGTGTGTTGCGGGGGGGGGGGGGGGGGGGGGGGGCCTTCCCCCCCCGGACGCCCGCCCCGGGCCCCCCCTTGGCCCCCCCCCCCCCCCCCTTTCTCTCCCCAGGAAGCCCTTCAAAGCATCGCCACAGACCCCGGCCTGTACCAGATGTTGCCCCGATTCAGCACGTTCATCTCTGAGGGGGTAAGAGAAAGCGGGGGGGGGCTCCCACTCCCTCTGCCAGATCTTGGCTGTGGTGCCAAGCCATGGGGGGTGGTTGAGGGGAGTCCTGTGGCCTCAGCTGCTTTAACTGGGGGGGGGGGGGGGGGGGGTGGGGGGGGCAGAGAGCTGTCCCAATGTCTTGGAGGCAGGAAGAGTTGCACTGAGCCAGCCTGCTTACGAGGGACTTTGGGAGGAGGAAACCGTCCTGCCTGGGATTAAGCTCTCGGTGGACCCTTCCTCCTGCGGATTCTTGGAGGATCCTGAATATCTGGGGGTGCCAAGGTGGCCAACTGGCTGCTTGAAGATGCTCGGAAGCCAGCGTCCCTGGAGCAGAATCCCTGGTCTCCTGGGCCGCCACTCCTCCTCCTCCTCCTCCTCCTCCTCCCAGCGTTGCCCCTGCCTGGCACCCTCCGTGCACCCAGTTGGCCAGCGCTGGGCTCTGAGGTGTCGCTTGGCTATGAATTCCTTGGCCTCCCAGTTGGGACCCCCCACAGGAACCATGGGCCCACCTGTGTTGGGGGTTAGGCCTGTTCCTCTTCAGAATTCCCCAGCTGTCCGGCCCAGCCACCGGCATCCAGGCAGCCCGGAGCCCCTGAGGAGGATCCCGCACCAGTGCTAGATGGGGCCTTGGGACTGTCCTGGGAGGACCCTGGCCAGCCCACCCGGGGAGGGGCCTGTGCGTGGGGAAAGTGGACGTGGAGCAGCCTCTCCCAGGGAACTGACCCCGCGGCCCCCTCCCTCCCTGCCCTCCAGGTGCGGGTCAATGTGGTGCAGAACAACCTGGCTCTTCTGATCTACCTCATGCGGATGGTCAAGGCGCTGATGGACAACCCAACCCTCTACCTGGAGAAATACGTGAGCGGCCGAGCCCCCCTGGCAGGGAGGCCCAGGGTAGGGGGTGGGGGCCGGGGGCCGGGCGTTGACGGTCCCACTGGTTGCTGCAGCTGCACGAGGTCATCCCAGCGGTCATGACCTGCATCGTCAGCCGTCAGCTGTGCCTCAGGCCAGATGTGGACAACCACTGGGCCCTGCGAGACTTCGCCGCTCGGCTCATCGCCCAGATCTGCAAGAACTTCAGCACCACCACCAACAACATCCAGTCCCGCATCACCAAAACCTTCACCAAGGTGGGGGCCGGGGGGTCGGGGTGGGGTGGGTGGGGGGCTGGCAGCCCCGGCTCTCCTTACACTCCTCACGTCCCTCTCCCTCCCTTTGGCCCCCAGAGCTGGGTGGACGAGAAGACGCCCTGGACCACGCGCTACGGGTCCATCGCTGGCCTGGCGGAGTTGGGGCCTGACGTGAGTGGCCGCCCGGGGGGAGCTGGGACGGGACGGGGGTCCCCCGGGCTCAGTTTGGCCAGAGGCCCAGAGGCTGCATCCGCTCTCCTCTCCAGGTGATCAAGACCCTCATCCTGCCACGGCTGCAGGTGGAGGGGGAGCGTGTCCGCAGCGTCCTGGAGGGCCCGGTGGTCAGCAATATTGACAAGATTGGGGCTGACCACGTCCAGAGCCTCCTGCTGGTAAGGGAAGCCGCCCCCCCTCCTCCCTGGAGCAGCCGCTGTGAAGAGGCCGGGTTGTCCCACCCGGAGGGGCCCCGCTTGCCCTCTGCATGTGTGTGTGTGAGTGTGTGTGTTCCCTTGGGGGTTCCGCTAAGTGTCTTTTCCTTCCCCCCCCCCACAGAAGCACTGTGCCCCCGTCTTGGCCAAGCTGCGTCCCCCACCGGATAACCAGGAGGCCTACCGAGCTGAGTATGGCGCCTTGGGCCCCCTGCTCTGCACCAACGTGGTGAAGGCCCGGGCCCAGGCAGCTGTGCAGGCCCAGCAGGTGAACCGCACCACGCTGACTATCACCCAGGTAGGTCGACCCTCGCTCCCCCCCTCCCCCTCCCCCCGGGGTTTCCCTAAGGGTGGCAGGAGGCAGGTCTCACCACCGTCTCCTCCCCTCTTTCTCCCCCCTCCCCCGCACAGCCTCGCCCGACCCTGACCCTCTCCCAGGCGGCCCAGGGAGGCAGCAGCGCCAGCCGGGCGCCCAGCATCATCAAGGTGCCCGGCTCCATCACCCTCCCTGTGCAGACGCTGGTCTCCACCCGGCCGGCCACCCCAACGCAGCCCTCCCCTCCGCCGACCAAGTTCATCGTCATGTCTTCCGCCTCGGGCACCTCCACTTCCCAGCAGGTACGGCCCGTGGGGGTGGGGGCAGTGGGGGTGGGGGCCTCTTTCCTGACCTCCTCCTCCTCCGGCTCTCACAGGTGATCACGCTCAGCGGAGGCCCAGCCGGCACGTCCACTTCGCCCGTCACCAGCACGGTGCCCAGCACTCAGCCCCTTGTGAAGCTGGTTTCCGGTGGGCAGGCGGCCCCCAGCCCCCCCATCTCAGGCAGCGTCCAGAAGTACATTGTGGTTTCTCTGCCCCCCGCCACAGAGGGCAAGGGGGGCCCCTCCCAGCTCTCCCCCTCCTCCTCGGCTCCACCCAGCCTGGGACTTGCCAGCGGGGCCCTCAAGCAGGAGCGCAGCAACAGCCCCCAGCTGCCGGGAGCTGCCAGCGCCGCCACCACCAGCGCCACCGCTTTCCTCACCAAAGCCACCAATGGCGGGCAGGGCTTGGTCCCCGGGTCCCCGCAGGCCCCCCTCTAGAGCTGGCTGCCTGCCACCTGTGGGTGGGCTGGGGACAGTCCGGGGCTCCACTCCTGCACCACCCCCCTCGTTGCTGGGGGAGGACACCCCCCAGGACTGCCCCCCCCCGTCCTGCCCACCTGCGTGAACTTGGAGAGAATGTGTGTGTGTCTGTCTCCCTGTTGCAGGAGTAGCCAGGGTGGTCCTTTCGCTGCCTTCCACAAAATATGTTTGCTGTAAATCCTTTCCAGTACCTAATAAACATGCCTCTTCAACAGCATTGGGGGGGGGCCTTGCTGACTGGCAGACTTGGAGGGGGGGGGAATTCCAGGTTCTGAGCTGGAACTGTGCTGCTGGGGGGGCGGGGGGCGGGAGGGGCTACACAGGCGTGGGGTCCAGGAGGCCCTTTCAGCACAGGGAGAACTGGCCAATTGGATCATGCCCTGCCTCTGCTGAGGCATCACCTGAGAGGCTCCGGAGGACCAATTGCCAACCTTTTGGGGGGGTGTCCTTGCCTGGGGGCCTAGCGTTGGGAGGAGGGCAACCCCCGAAAAGGGTGGGACTGGGGCCCTGGCGTCAATTGCGTTGGGTGCGCAGGCGGGGAGTTCAGCCTTGCCTCCCCCCCCCCCCACGCAAAAGTAGGCGGCCGACAGAAGGACAGGCAGCCTTGGCCTCCGTTGCCAGCAGCGCCTTTACTGTCCGCGGCGGAGCGCAGCGACAAGCTCTCTCGGCCTGGGGAGCGGCTCGCTGGGCTCGAGCCCCGCCTTGGGCACCCGGGGGGCGTCAGCGATCGCTTGGAGCGGCTTATCGGGGACGGGAGGCCAGAGGCTGCCCGCTGCCTGGGAAGCGCGACTGGGGACGAAGAGAACCACCGGCTTCCTTCTCTGCGGCGGCCGAATGGCCGCGGGGCCTAACCGGCCGTCGGGACCGCCGCCGCCGCCGCGTCTCTGCCCCGCCGACGATGGCCTGCGGTCAGTCGAGGGGGTCTCGCTCCGCTGCTCCTCGGGTGGGACGTGCTGCCCGGCCTGAGCGCCTTCTGGAGAGGGAGAGAGGCCGGGGCGCCCCGGTGGGCTCAATGCGCCCCTCCGGTCGGCCGGCGCTTTTCTCTCCGCCGGCAAGGCTGCGGCTCCCGCCTCCCGCTTTTCTCCCGCCGTCCCCCGAGCCGCACGGCTCCCCTTTACAAAGGCCCGGCTCCCAAACCTCGGCTGTCGGCGGGCTGACCGCTCTCCATCCTCGGCGCCTGGCGCCGTCCGTCCGAACCCCGACGGCGCCTGGAGGGCAGGTAGAACTGGGGAAAGAGCGAGCGGCGCGTCGGGTCCCGGCCGCACGTGCGCTCCCCTCCCCGCCCCCCGGGCCTTCCGCTCAGACGGAGGGGCCGTCCCCGTTGGGAGGCGGCTCCGGCCGCCCCTCCCTCACCAGAAAGACGGCGTTGCTGACCACGCAGAGCAGCACCGCGCCGCCCAAGAGCCGAGCCACCACGTCGCCCGCCTCCTGGCACAGGCTCGGCTGCCAGGACATGGTTGCCGGTGCCCGCTCTCTACCGGGGCTGGGGCGCCACGGGGGCTGGCGGGGGAGCGGGGAGGCATTGTGAGGCCCCGTGAGCTCACAGCGCCAGGGGAGGCGAGGAAGCCGGCCCGCCCGCCTCGCCCCACTGCGACCACATCCCCGAGCACAAGGGAGCCGCGCTGATCACCGGTCGAATCACTGAATCAAACGAAGATTCAGATCATTGGATTAAATGTTTGCTGATCATTTGATTCCGGATCAAAGATCCCAGCCGGGATCATCATCTTCGTAGCGCCGCCGCCGCCGCCGCCGCCGTTCAGGTCATGCAGTCCAAGCCGAGCGCCTTCCAGGCCAGCCCTGAAATGAGTCTGTTGTCGGCTAGGGATCCTGTCTGGGGACCCCGACTTTCTCGGCAGTAGCGTCTCTCTCGTTTCCCGCTGGAGCGGGACCCCTGGAAGAGTCCCACGGTGCATCCCAGAGGGGGAAGGAAGGGCCGCTCTCCGTCCTCCTCGCTTTCCCGATTCCTCCCGGGTTTAGAGAGCCTGCAGGCGGAGCCTCTAGAAAACGGCACCCCTCCCTTCCGAAAAGGCCCTACTGGATGGCCGCCCCCACCCCCTGCTCCGTAAAACAGGACTGAGCGGTTGGCCGCATAGCTGTCGGAGCAGCGCTCCGGGTAGGAGCAACCTCGGCGGGAACCGGGGACAGGAGTCAAAAATCGGTCTGGCTAGGAAGGGAAAACTCCACTGAAGGACCAGCATTTTACGAGTTCAGTCTGAGTTACACAGAAGTGTTCCTGCCACAAAAAGAATGCAAATGTTAATATTTTTTAAAAATGACACTTGGAAATGAAGCTTTCGGAGTATGATCTTAAAAGCTGTCCTAGTTTAAAATTAGATTTGTCTTTATAATTTTTCTAAACTGCAGCCTAGAAGCGTGATAAATACATAACTTCTGCTCGTCCTTAATAAAGCTAATCACACATTTTTGCAAGCAATTTCTCCTCCTGAAAGACGGAGAAAGACTTCTCCTTCCGCCTTCTGCCCTGGCGGTCCTGCTGCTGCTGCTGCAGCAGCTGCTTTAAGTCTCGGCCAGAGGAACAAGGGAAAATCGTGGGAGAGCAGCCACCAGGGAGGCCCCTCCGTGGCATCCAGTCCCCCTGCCCGGCTGGGAGCAGCTCCAGCTGGCACAGCAGAGGCCATCTTCAGGACTCTCCTTCCGGCAGGAGAGTCAGGCTCCCCCTGCTGGCCTAGGAGGAGACCGTTCCGTGGGCATACAGGAGGAGCAGCTCGTTGCCCTGAAGTTGCCCAAAGGGCCCGTCTGCCCCCCCTCTTCCTACCCCAAGACTCATATTCCACAGCAACTGCTCCCAAGGCCATTGATCCCGGAAGGAATGGGGAGTCATTCTGCCCAGCAGCCATGGTTTCTGTTGCGGTTCAAAGATGCCAAGGGCTCCCCCTGCCTTGGGGCAGATCCTCTCCAGCCCAGAGCAGCTGCCGTGGTGGGGGTGGCGGAGGAATGGTGTCCTCCCCGAACTGCAGGGAGCAGCTAAGGGTTTAGAAAGAGCAAAGCCACTCCCCTCCCTCTGCCAGGCGTGGGCCCCGCCTGGCTGCCACTTCCTCTTGTGCAGTTCCCCCTCTGGGTGGACTCAGCCTCAGGCTCCAAGAGCCACAGGTTTGTTTGCCTCAGGGCCCAGCCAGCCGGCTTCCCATGAACTATCAGCTACTGTAAGGGGTGGGGGGGGGGCTAGCATTGAGCCCCTTCCCTTCGCAAAATCTCCAGCCCAGAGCAGCTGTCCCTGGGCAGGGCAGGGCAGTGGGCAGGGGTCCATGTGTGGCTCTGATACCTTCAAGGGAGCGCCTGCCACCCCAAGTCCATCCCATGCCCAGAAGAAGCTGCAGCTTCCGGTCCAAATTCATTCCCTCTTTCGTGCTGCTCCCTATGGGTGGGGTGGGGTGGGGGAGAAGGTCTCCTTCCCACTCCAACAAACTCTGTTGGGGGGGGGAGTTGCCAGGTGCCGCCCGAGGTCAGCGGGGAGGCCAGGCTGGCTGCTGCAGAGTTTAGTGCAGAGGGAAAGCTGCCCCCCGGCTGCAGGCCAAAAGGGACCCCTGCCTCCCACAGGAGCTGACCACCCTCGGACCCCGCCCCCACAAGCCTCTGCAGAGGAACCCCGGATTTTCTCTGCTCTTTCCTTGGTCCGGAGGAAGCAAGCAGAGGCTGAGCTGGGGAAAGACTTTCTGGAAAGCCCCTCGGAGGAGCAAATCACCCGGGGAACAAACATTTGGGAAGCCTCTCCGGCAGTCAGCATGGGTTGCTACAAGGAAAGGGGGGGGGTGTAAGCTAGGAGGGGCTGAAGACATTGGCCACACATCTGAAACGGGGGTTCTCGTTGTATCTGCTCCCCTGGTGTGTGTGTGTGTGTGTGTGTGTGTGTGTGTGTGTGAAGCTCAGCTTAGCTTGTGGCTCTGAAGAGGCCGGCGCCCACCTGTGTCGTCCTCCCCAGGTAGAGCACTGAGATCCAGGCCTCCAGGGCGCAGAGAGGGAGGGGGGGGCGCAGAAGGCCCAGCAGAAAAGCTCCGGGCGAAGGGCCCCGGGGGAAGGTCGGCGCCGCTCCACCTGAGCCGCAGCGGAGGCTCCACAAGCGGAGGGCTGGGGACCGCCCTGCCTGGGGCGGGAGGAGCCAGAAATAGCAGCCGCTGGGCTCAGACCCAACTCTCTGCGGGGTGGAGGCTGTGCGAAGGTCGGCCGGCCGGCCGCAGCCCTTCCCGGGGGGGTTGGGGGCCACTCCAGGCCTCTCCCCCTCCCCGCGCCGCCTCGTTGGAGCGGCTGCCATTCGGCCCGGGCGAGGCCCCCACAGCCCACCTCGCTTACGGGGCGGGGCCTCGCCGAGGAGGGGGCGGAGCTCGTCCCGCCGTGATAAGCCGCAGCGGCGCTGGGGGCAACCTGTAGCCGCCCGAGCCCGCCGCGCTGGCCATGTGGCTCCAGTTCGCCCCGCTCCGCCTGCCGCTCCGGCGGCGCCTCCAAACGGCCGCCGTCCTGCAGTGGGTCTTCTCCTTCCTGGCGCTGGGTGAGGACGGGGCGGCGGCGGCTCGGCCAGGGCCCCGGTAGCTGGCGGGGCGGCGCTGGCCGGCGGCCGTGGCCAGGGAAGGCGGCCAGGGAGGCCGAGGCGGGCGGCTCGCCTTGCTGCTCCACGCGGGGCTGCCTTCCTCCAGCCCTGCGGGGCGCCGCCACTGCCGCTCAGCGGGCGGGAGCCGCAGGAGCGGCGGGCCCCTGAGCACGTCCAGAGCGCCGCAGCTGCCGTGGCGGAGGGCATGACGGCCGCCCGCTCCCTCTCTCGTAGCCCAGTGCTGCCTGGGGCTTTACCTGCTGCTGCTACTCGGGGACGGCTGGCTGCTGGCGCTCGGCTACGCCGCCTGGCTCTACCTGGACTGGGAGACGCCGTGTCGCGGGGGCCGCCGCTCCGCCTGGGTCCGCGGCTGGGCCGTCTGGCGATACTTCCGCGACTATTTCCCCATCACGGTGAGCGGAGGAGGGGGGGGGCTCCCTGGACTAGCGGGGGTCGGGCCTGGCGGCACCCCCCCTTTCTCCCTTCCGGGGGGGGGGAACGGACGGCGGCTCCACCGACACGGCCTTGGCCACCGAGCGCCGCGGGCCGTGGGGAGGCGGGGCTGGAACCCCTGGCGTTGAACCGCCCAAGCGCCGCGGGGTCGCCCGCCTTTAACGGCCCTGCCTAAACCTCCGTCCCTCCGCCCTTGTGAAGCCAAACGCCCCCCCCCCCCGCCCCCCTCCCAGCCAGGAAGTGTCGGCCCTTTTTAGAGGAACCTCTTTTATTCAAAGGGACGGATCCGAGGTGGCGGTGGGGCTGGGAGGGGCCCGGCTTCCGTCCCGGCACAGCTTACCTGGAGACGGAGGAGTGGGACTGGGGCGGCCGGGGTGCTTCTCTGTGTGTGGGGCCGAAGGGGAGGAACAGCTGAAAGGTGTTTTAAGGAGTTGGTATAAGAGGCAGACCCGTCTGGGGAAAATCTGAGATGAAGTGATCCACTCACTTCATAATAGGGGAATCCTTTTAACTGAATCCCATGAAGCAGTTTGGATTGTAGCTTAAACC